ATTCATAAAATTAATGGTGGAGACGCTGATCTTCATTTCGATTATATCAGCCAGGAGTACCAATTTTTTAAAGGCAGATTAGACAGCAGCTGTGTGACAGACAAAGTACGTAGTCTCTTGCTTACTTACCAAGGAATGGTACTCATTTATTAACTTCAAAGAATGAATGACGAGTGACCTGTGGCCTCTCAGTTCTGAACCTGACGATCTACCGACTAAGCAACCGAGATCAGAAGCAACGTGCTGCAAGTTTGCTGCTCAAGAGAATTCGTCGTTAAGACAAGGACTGCTCTCGGCAGGAATCGAACTCAGAATTGAAGTCGACCTCTTTCGCACTGTGCCACAATGCCATCAGAAACGAATAGATGATGACGACTAGTGGTCTGAGGAAACACGATTTATTTTAATGATTCAGCTTTAAGAATAAAATGACGGTTGCATTCGTGCTAAAAATCGTGGGAGCATGCAGTTGAAGCATAGTTGCTTCTTGGAGTAATGTAACTTTTTGCTGCAGCAGAAACTAATGCAAGATATGAGTTTGCGAATTCATTTCGACTGCTACTGGAGAAACTGACATTGCTGAATCACACAACAGGCAGCCAAGAGGTTGCACACGAAATGTAGGGTGACTCAGGTGCATTCAACGCCTCGGAGTGAAACCCTGTGAAGAATGCATAGTTGGCGGAGGACCATGAACACTGGAAAAGTCTCCAACAGCCAATATTCTGCTTAGCAATTTGAATGGAAAAGCAGATTGATCATTTAAAAACGGGTTTGATCTTCGAAATTTGGCAACCGTGTCATTCTAACTTCGTCAGGTTAGATGATGTTGACCATTATAGTGCTGTCGAGGATCGCGGTGAATGATGCTTTTCACGGATTCCTGTTCAAGAACTGAAACTCTTGTCACAAAGCTGGGTAGGACGATTTTGCTACGAATAAACAAGTAGTCTATCGTTTATCCTATCAACAGATATACGAATAATTCAACTCATCGGTTACTCAGTTTATCATGTTTTCTTTTCAATTTCTTCCTCGCATTTTCGATACTTTTCTATCTGGCCTTTTATTTGGCCTCATTGGCTGAAAGCAATCTTCTCAGAAAAAAACTATACTCCGTCATAAGCTGGTTCACTGTGCAAAAACCATTCTCCTTTTTGTTAGACACTCTTTGTTGTCTTTCATATACTTCCGTATTCATTATTTAAATTTATTTAAACGCCCGCCGCTTTCCAGTTTAACAGCATGATGCTTGCTTATTTTCGTTGAAACTGAACTTTTAAAGATCGGCGTTTGTTCACGGTTTACGTTGCGGTTTGTGGATTTATTCAAAGCCATTGGAAGTTTCGTTAAGCCAAGGTAATCATCGTAGCGTTTTCTGACCAAATTATGGTTCATAAAATACTCTTAGATATACCCTCGGTATAACTTCATTGAATGTAAGTAAGACATTGTGATTATCATGCCCACCATCCAGGTTTCTTAAGATTTTAAAGAGCATGGTAGTTCCGACAGTAGGTCATTGGACCAGCAGTGGGAAAGATCGTGTTTGAATTCTCATAGTGAAAGTTTCGCTTCATCATCTGAAGTAGATCAACAAATAGCATTATGTCACAAAGAAACAGGAGGAAACACGTTATAGTAGCTGTCAGGCTGAAGACTTTGGTTTCGAAACACGTTAGTACATTTGGATAATGCATTTTATACGAAAAATCAAAGTTGGTTGCAACGATAATAATTTATTGTTTTCAAATTAGTTTCAAAGAAATTTTCAAGAGGATCAGGGTGCTGGATTTTATGTAAATAGAAGTTTTAGTTTGATTACTTAAATAGTATAGTTCTGATTCACGTATTGTCCAACCCCTGTTGAATTCAACGCAAGGTTCGCAAAAATATCTTACCTCAAGTTGGCGAGCCACAGTGGGTAGGGTCAAGCCTGGTGCAGTTGTCCATCCGTTCTTTCGATGGCAAACTTTACTTTAGTGGCACGATCATGGTTTTTCTATGTGCGTTTTGAATGAGAGTACGGTGATAAGCTGATAAGAGACGTGCGCTCAAATAGCATACGATTATTAATAATTTAATAATATTAAAGCGGAAGTCATGCTGACCTTCTAAGTTAATTCCTGCCCAATAATCTTAGTTCTTTTTGATTCTACTGATTACTGCTAAAATCTTTCTTTTTACACAGATTAGCTTCGACGCGAAGAGTTCTTCTTTCATCCCATTGCATGACGCAGGTCTTTCTTGTGCTGTTCTTTCCAATACCTCAGCTCTTCTGGCCTGTTCTACTGAATAAGTCATGTGTTTACTGATTCGGTTCTTCAATTTCCACTGATTTTTCCGATGTAAGTTTTTCCGCACGTCCTGCAGAGGAGGCTACTAAGTTTGTTTAGAGTTCTGGAAACTCATTGCTGCCCCCTACCTGATCGCAAAGCGTTTGATTCTTTCACTTGAGCTCTACTGGTAGCGAGGGG